TGAGTTACTTCACTTTTTTTTTTTTTTTTTTCACAGCTGTGTTCTACGGAAAGCGTTTTAGTGTGTAAAATCTCTCTCCTTGTAAAACACTCCAAAGAGATGCCAAAGTTCAAACCTGACTGTAATGCATAATACCAAAGCAGCATATGGTACAAACTACAGAAAAGTTTAGCAGTGAGAAATAAACAAACCTCAAACAAATAAAAAAGCTTTTCACATCTGAAGCAATTGATAAAATAGCAATGAACAGCTAAGAGCAAATACTTTTCCATCAAGGCATACTTTAACCCTTAAATACAATACATAACCAAGGAAAACTACCAAATTGTTAAGGCATTTGATCATTCTTAAAATGTGGATTGTAGTGCTGGAGTTCTCCGCTGAAAAAGGAAAACAGTTAAAACCTCACATTTTAAGAAATAGCCCATCTATTATAGCAATGCATCCAATCTTGGAACTTACATTAGCAAAGCATGCAAGTATGTTCCTATCCAAACTTCACAGAAGAGCACTGTGCTTAAGCAAGTAAGCTAAAATTAAGAAAATTAAAGATAAATACAAGCATTTTCCTGTATTTGTCCTCAATAATAAATAATTCAGTTCTTCAAGTTTGCCCAAGATGCTGAAAGATAAGTTAACTTCATTCAAATAAATAGTAAATTTTGCATTCATTTCAGTCACACAGAATAAATATGTGAATAAAAAAGCATAGGCTGACATAGGGCTTAGCAAGTGCTAAACACAGAGCTACAGGGAATTTCAGCCTTGTAGAATGCTGCAATAATTCTTGGCAGGGATTTCTCAGAATTTCCAGTATAAATACAACTTAAGAAAAGACTGCTCCATTAAAACTTCATTTTCAGAATCAGAATAGGGGTCCCTCAAACAGGTTTTTAATGTAGATTCTTCTGATGAACCTGCAAAATGTTTTCCTTCTAACTTGCTCGAGACAAACCGTCTTTTATGAAAAACTCATACAAAATTTTCAAGATCCTGGAAAAAATGGTGAGAGATTGTTAGTTACCAACTCATTTTCCATAGTTCTCCATCAGCTCTGACATCTGAGAGCCAAAGCTGCAGGAAATGCTCCTAAAACTACTGGGAAAACTGATCTATAAGAGGTCGAAGCTAACTGACAGGATTACCAGCCTCAGGAAGGCAGGGATGCTATAATATTTGTTCTCCTCTTCATTTTCTTTCCTCCTTCCAGGCAGTGAACAGACTATAAACTGAGAAGTACAGAAGCGTGAAAAGAAATAGAGAACTTTCTTCTGGTCCTTTTATCCTTTAAAAATCTAACTTCTGCAGAAAATGGAAGAAAAATCAAAGCACAACATAAAAGTTTTAGCATAAGACCAACCAGGCTGGATAAGACCAAAGATCTCTCAAGCAGAGTCCTGCCTCCAGCAGTGGCCAGTGGCAGAAAAGTGGGGAACAGCAGAGGAACCAGGCTTGTCCTTAAAGATCCGTCTGCTTGGTTGTACCTCGCCAACCACCGGCTGGCAGCATGCTTGGGACTTCCTTCGGTGGAGGCTGCTGTAAGCCAGGATGTTTGGTAGCTCATGGACGTCTCTTTATGCTTGCTAGCCTGTCACTATTGTCAAAGGACAGCGTGGGACAGCACAGAGATGGTTATCAATGAGAATAAAGAGTATGAGGAAATTCTCTATAAAAGTAGTTATTGCTCTGTGCTGGCTCAGAGAGGTTCTTAACTCCACATAAGGAATGGCAAAGTCCCATGCAATTGTTCAGTCACTGAAGGCTGATCTAAAGGTCACATAGGCTTAGTTGTGTGATGCCAAAGCATAACTAATCGTAATGCAGTTCAAATAGCAATTTAAAAAAAAAATATTATTATATTTTTTTAATATTACTTCTTTGTATCCAGAAGGCTAATGAGTTGTTGATCTTGCGGAACCATAGGCAGGTGTAATTTCTACAGAAAACTGAGTGGATTGTACAATGGACAATTCAAACAATGGCACTAAAACATAATAATAAGGAATTCAACTATAGTTAAGGACATGACATTCCCAGATGAAAGCTAACAAGCAGCATTTTTAAAAACAGATTTCTTTAAAATTTCATAAAAGAAAATCAACAACAACTGCAAGTCAGCCCTAGAGTTGCTTTAGTTTCATTGGAGTTTTGGTAGTGATATGACCAAAAGAATAGAATAATATGAAATGGGTAGCTGAAATATCAGAGGGAAGAGAGTATTTTTGAAATTTCTGCTAGCAGTGTCTATCCACTAATTTAATAATTGACTGCCTAAAATAGCTTTTTAGTTTCTCACAGATACTTTTTCAAGATCTGCTGTTTACTATTACTTCTTACAGGCCTGGTGTTTCCTTTCAGACTGTCCATCTAAATCAGAGCTATACAAGACTCATGTTCAGAGGGACTATGCAAAACTGATCTAAGTTCTGGTCTGAGTGATTCTACAACCCGAGATTTCACTATGCATTTCAGGTTTATAGCCAACAGCAGAACTCTAAGCAAAACTTCATCTGAATACATAAAATTATTAAAGTTTCTGAAACAAACCAAAACAAAACACCCTCCTCCCCCAATGCTGTGAAACAACAGGTTGCTTCTGCTGTATTTAAAGAATGAATTAGGAGCAATTCACTTTTCCACTATTTTTAGTGGATTTTTATTGTCAACATGGCAAATGTTTATAAACATAAAATCATGTACAGTTTTGTAGAAGATCAAACCCCTTTAGTATAATACACAGAACTAGATAGATTTATCAGATTTGTGTACAGAAAACATATAGTTGCAGGCACACAGATACATATACAGATACACACTCACACATTTTTGTTTCCTACTGGCCCCAAACTTTATTATGTTGTAGTGGAATTACTGCAACAATTCTGCTATCAGACAGGACTTGATTACCAAGCAAGTGCAGGATTTATAGCCTCCTGATTTTATATTCCTACAATCTGAGCACATATGTCAACTTTAGCTTAAAAAGAGAGTTACTGGTTACAATCACATTGTTGTATCTGTTAGCTAAGCTTAGCAGGACACAGGGGAGAAATTATACTAGAAAAAAAAAATGTCAGTGAAACATATCAGTGAAACACAGCCATGGTACAATTAAGACTTGCAGCTACTGAGAATCAATATCAGAATTTATAAACTTTTAAGAGATAGCTAAGATCAGTTTCTACAAAAGCTGAAATAAATAATTTTTGTGAAGTTGTTCTGGGCTGCTCCGTGACCAAGAGCATTCATGGCCTCCATCTCATACTCTATGGGAGGAATACCAAACTTCCAGCATTTTACAGCCTCCCACCAAGGCTTTGTGTTTCCAAATTTTCCATAGTTGAAGTAAGGCATAACACAATGCAACAGCCAAAATATTATTAGAAGCAGATATCAATATTATCTAACCTGACATGACAAGTTGCTTCAGTATGAACTTTTAATGGTTTTATATAAAAAGTTACGCTAAAGTCACTGTTTGGAAATTCAAGCTTTCGATGCTAGATTCAAGCTGCTCCTGGGATAAGCAAAAACATGGGAACTACCACGTGATAAAATGAAAAGTTTTGGCAAGGGGAACGTATTAGTTAAGAAGAAACTGTATTTTCATTATATACTGTCGCGATTTGAGCCAATAAAAATCTAACTACCAATAAGAAAATCTACCTTTTCTTAGGTGGGATTCTTCCATGTCTCCCCATCACCATAATGACCATGTTTAAATTGCTCGAGTAGATATCAAGCAATCTGAAGTTATTCATTAAGACAAATGACTGCAACCTTCTGCCCAAATTCATTCCAATTTCACTCCTTACTACATAAATTATTCCACTGCCTTCATTGCAATTAATCAGTTAGTTATCTGCCAGTATGAATGAAAGTGTCAGAATCAGGCCCAATGCAGCCTACAGGAGATAGATTTTTAACAGTTGCTCTAAGCATACTTTTGTCCTCTTTGCCAAAGTTTGGCAGCAATCTTTCAGTGTATTTCTTTGAGGTATTTTAAATGAATGAGATAAATAATTACCTGGCTCATAGTCTGGGATCTCCTCCACTAAATCTTGGAAGGAATTAACACAATGATCAACTAGTGTTTTCCAGTTCTAGTTTACGTCATTAAAACAGTTTGCTATAATGAACCAGTCTGTGGGTTCATTTTAAGTTTTATATGGATGACAAACTATATTTTGACTTCAGAATTTCAGGGTATGTGCAAAATTGTGGTGGGTTGACTGGATGCCAGGTGCTCACCAAAGCTACTCTATTACTCCCTTCCTCAGCTGGACAGGGGAGAGAAAATACGGTGAAAGGCCCGTGTGTTGAGATAAGGACATGGAGAGATAAAATACCATCATGAGCAAAACAGACTTGACTTGGGTAAATTAATTTAATTTATTAGCAATCAAATCAGAGTAGGTTATTGAGAAATAAAACCAAATCTTAAAACACCTTCCTTCCAGCCCTCCTTTCTTCCAAGCCTTAACCTTATTTCCAATTTCTCTACCTCCTCCCAGCACAGGGGGACAGGGAATGGGGGTTGCAGTCAGTTCATCACACATTGTTTCGGCTGCTCCTTCCCCCCTCAGGGGGATGATTCTTCATGCTCTTCCCCTGCTCCAACGTGGGGTTCCTCCCACAGGAGAAAGTCCTCCACGAACTTCTGCAATGTGAGTCCTTCCCCCAGGCTGCAGTTCTTCAAGAACTGATCCATCATGGGTCCCTCCCAGGGGGTGCAGTCCCTCAGGCACAGACCGCTCCAGCGTGGGTCCCCCACGGGGTCACCAGTCCTGCCAGCAAACCTGCTCCAGCGCGGGCTCCTCTCCCCACGGGCCCACGGGCCCTGCCAGGAGCCCGCTCCAGCGCGGGCTTCCCGCGGGGTCACAGCCTCCTTCGGGCATCCCCCCGCTCCGGCGCGGGGTCCTCCCTGGGCTGCAGGTGGAGAACTGCTCCTCCGTGGGCTGCAGGGGCACAGCCTGTGTCACTGTTATCTTCACCACAGGCTGTAGGGGAATCTCTGCTCCGGCACCCGGAGCACCTCCTCCCCCCTCCTTCACTGACCTTGGTGTCTGTAGAGTTGTTGCTCTCAAACATTCTTTAGTTGTGTAGGGTTTTTTTTCCTCTTCTTGAATACGTTATCCCAGAGGTTCTACCACCGTTGCTGATGGGCTCGGCCTTGGCCAGCAGTGTGTCTGTCAAGGAGCCGACTAGTGTTGACTCTGTCGGACGTGCAGGAAGCTTCTGGCAGCTTCTCACAGAAGCCACCCCACTAGCCCCCTGCTACCAAAACCTTGTAATGCAAACCCCATAAAGCTCAAGATCCAGACTCTTCTGCCTTTCCTGTCTTCCCCTCCTCCACCTGCACGATATTTTGTTGTCATTTTCAAGAGAGATTTTCTCCTTTTATTTGTTATTTTCACTTTATGTGCAGCCCTTCATTCAGCATAAAGTTCAGAATACAGTCCTCTCTTCATATTGAAATTAAAATGCAGTTGAATGAATTAAGCAAGAATGGAAATGCCTTAACAAAGTCTTCAGTTGTTTCCTTCTTTACTTAGGAGAAAATATAATAAGAATTCTAGCCAGAAACTGGACTCTGCTGACATTGTGAACAACTCCATCCTCTCTCTGATTTGCTAGATTCAGTGTCTGAGTGACTGCTACTGCAGCCTTTTGCTTCCTGTTGTATTTTGGAACAGGTGAAATATTTCAGTTACACTATAGGGCCAGCTTGGAGTCACCTGCCAAGACATGAAGGAGTGGTGTATCTTGAGGGCAGGTTTCCCTAGGCATGTAATGGGGTACCCGGTGCAGATCTAAGTGGCCACTCTCTCTTAATAAACCAGTTGCGTATTACATATGGGATTCTGGATCTATTTTCCAGAGACTTCAGAAATGGCAAAGAGAAATGGTTTCAGCAGGAGATAATGGGCTTTATGACTTTTCCCAAATTATTCCCCTTTTTAGTAGCCATCATCTTGTCGGATGACATCTGGAATGATTAGAGGATGATATTTTAGACTGACAACTGGGCTGTCATTCACACTGTCAGTCAGCAAACATCCTGGTTGCCCAGGGTTACAAAGCTAGTTTATGCCTTTGTCCTGTAGTATTTAGTGCTGCTGATTCTTTACCTTGATTTCAGATGAAGCGGTTCTGACAGCTAGCACCAGAGGCAGGCAGAGAGCTCATGTTGATGGTGGGAGTCCCGTGGTGCCTTTGTGTGAGATGGTTTTAGCACTTCTGTGACAGCCCATCAGGCAGGACATAACCTTGGAATATTAGGGTGGATCTTGTAAGTTCATCTGCTTTCAAAAAAATAGAAAGCCAAAGTTTATCTATGTCCTAGGAACACATCTAATTATTTTAGACTTATGTACCTGAATGGGAGCTTACGCAACCCAGTTGTCTGCAGAATTATTATCCTAAAGCAGACCAGAAAACAAACCAGCCCAAAGCAGCCTTGGGCTCCAAGGATGAGCAGTCCCTGTGCTTTCCTCAGCATATAAGAGTACCCTCACCAAATTACCAGCAAGAATAAATGTGCTTCACAGCAACAACTTCACATTGTTCAACTGTCCCTTAATATGCAGTTGAAATTCCTTCTCACTCATTGTGCATCTCTGATCAAAACGAAGACCTATGATTTTAAATGTTTCAGTTTGGGAACCCAACTTTGGGCACCAAAAGCCTAATTTTCAAATGTAAAAATAACCTGAAGTTCTCAGAAAACTCAAAGCAATGTTGTGAGCATGTATCAGTTCTGATACTCAAGACCTAGAACACAATAATCAGGAACCCAACAACTGAAGCACCAAAACATCTTGTCTGCAGCTTCCCTTCATTTCTCTTTGCCTCAATGTATTCTTTTAACACAAAAATAACATTTCTTACAGGCAAACTGAGTGAATGGTATACTCACAAAACCTAATAATTTGTAACTAATAAACTAGCTGATAAATTAAGGAATAACTAACATGCAGTTTGTTATCAGTGAGCAGTTAAGTAACTCGCTATTATTTTGGTTCCAAACAGGTAACAGTACAGCCATCCTAGCACACTGTGTTTCACAGACCAGTTTAAAACTCACAACATGTGTCTGTGACATCTGCCTTTTACAAACAGGCTTGCAGCCTTGTCCTCAGAAAACATAAAATGAAAGTGTGCTCAAAGCAAATTTGCTTAAAAATTCAATAAAAATGCCTTAAAACACTGGCAGAAGTTGCACAGCCTGAAGGCAAGGAACTCCTTCAGTAATGTTTCTAGCTAATGTTTCTGAAGCATGCAAAAAAGTAATAAAATTTCATAAACAAGCTGGAGAAAAAGGGTAACTTTTTGCCTGTTGTATGCATCTGAGACCATAATGCCTCTATGCAGGTATTCTGCCTCCTGTGTACCTTGTTCCTGGGGCTCTACCAGAAGATTCTTACCAATTACAGCAGCAGAGAAGCTGAAACTAGAAAGAAGCATGTAGATATGTGTGGACAAAGTGTTAAAACAAAAGGAGAAAAAAAGCTGCTTGAAGCATACTTTGGTAGCATTGTTCTGAAGCTTAAAACGGTACCCTTCTAAAGAACAACAGGAAAGCAAATAAATCAGTATAATTTATTTATACTAACTTTTTTAATAATTCACTCTGATTCTTTTTGAGTAGCATCTCACAAACCTGGTTGTTAAGTGTAAATTAAAACTATTCAGGAGGTAATATTTGTAAAGCACTTTTGCATCCACAGATGAATGCTGCTGTATAATATGAACATTGACATATTTGACAAGGCAACAGAGTTAAGTGTGATACAGAGTCAGACTAAAGATTTTTTTCTTGTCTGAAAAGCCCTTGTTTTGTTACTAATATTAGAGCTACAGACGACTATTTGACAAAAAGCACCTCCTAATTTGAGAGCTGTAGCTCTTAAGCTCCATAGTAGCAGCTATTTACCTGGTTGGCTCACTCTTCACAAAATGTGCCCATTAAGCTCAGGGTATAAAGCCAAAAAAAAAATCCAGCCACTCTACTGAGCATGGCTGAACAAGCGACTGTGCTGGTATGTATTTGATAAGAGAGAGCAGAGGAAAAGGAGATAAACCTTGGGGTGTAAGACAGGAGTTTATATACTCCATTTAGAACAATAGGGAAATCTATTACTGACTTCATTGGGAATAACTCATAGTAGCACAAATTCTCTCTGGTTGCAGGTGTTTGGAGGATTTTCCCCAAGGGAAGCTTAATGATATATATATACATACATACATACGTATACACCACCAGTTTATGTCAAGGGAATTTATGCATGCATTCTCAACCGAGAGTAAATTTTAGCCCTTTTCTTGTTCACTGATGTTATCCAAGCATTTTCCCAGCTTGGCAGGGCTAAATTAAATTGGGCAACGTTCTGTGTGTGTTTGATGTCTGCTAAATGAAGTGAGCTTCCAATTCGTCATATTTACTCAAGCTCATTCAACTCTTGTAAAAATTAAAATGTTCCAGTTAATTTAACAAGATAATTTACCGCTCTCAAATCTTTCTTGCTCAACATTTGTTGCTGTTTAGAAGTCAGGGGTATGTGCTGCCATGTAATTCTTTGGACAGCTCTGAGGACTTAATAGTGAACAGCAGACATTTTAGACACTGGACAGGCACTGTGTTTAATCTCAAGCAAGGCCCTGAGCTGCCACTGGAGAGGGAAAGACTAGAATCAGGCCCTTTGGATTCATTATTTAAAGAAAGGGGATCACTCAAAAAATCCATAGAATATTTAGGAAAGAATCAGGGTGACTAAGGTAACAGTTGGACAGTGAGAAGTAAAAAGTTGCCATGTTGAGTAACCTGGATACAAATAGAAAGTAGGCAAGGGCCCCAAGAACCGAAATAATTGAAGTATCCACACATGAAGCTCTTCACATTTGATGCCTGGAAATAACAGCTCTGTCCTGAGATGAATATCTGTCTTGATCTTGCAACTCTATTTTATGTCAATACAGAGAAGGAAGCCAAAACATCATGCAATATTAGTGGTGTGTATGTGATAAAGTCCACTGAAATTAATACTTAATGAAATGAACCAAGATTGAGAATTTAAGATTGGCCATACCTGTACGCTGAGATTTACTCACAGGAACTTGTAATACTGTCTCTCTTCAAGCTGGGACCATTACACGTTATCTGTGGGCTTGAGCACTAAATGACAAAAAGGCATAGTAACTAGCAAGTTCAGAAATCCCCTCATTACCAAAGGACAGGTAACTGATGGTTGGCAGCACTGAAACATCTACTGTATAATAGGTCCTCAAAGACCCAGTGTACCAGATTGCAGACAATATCGAAAAATCTCTGCTCCAATTCATTTGTGGCTACTCTGAGAATCGGGGGTAGAATGAGGGTTATTTTTACTGGCTGGTTGTACTGAATCACGGTTAGATACTGGTTATCCAGCTCTACAAATCACAAGGAACTCTACAAACCTGGATCACATCTCCCTCTGCAGAAGCAAGAAGACTGGGGATGCCACAGACACAAGAGGCTGGTGCATTTGGTACTCCTTAGGGCTTAAGTGCACTTAAAATACTAGTCCTTCTCTCCATGAAGGATATAAGAAACCTAGAGAGATCAGCCTCCTAATGGAGTTGGATGTCTAAAGCTAAGAAAAACTATTCTAAGTCTCACATACAGATGACTTCAAACACTCTGCTTTTAGTCTTTCTGCAATTATGTATGAGACTGCAGAAGACACAGTCACATTTTGATAAAAATTCATTAAGCATCTTAGCAGCCTGGCAATATTCAGTGTGTCCTGGAGAACATGCAGACAGGTGAACTGCAAAAACCTAGTACACAAATGCAGAGCAATTTAAGCAAAATGGTGCTGAGGACTTGAGTAAAATTACAGCTATGTGCCACTCTTGTAGAATCAAAAGCAATGCAGAGTGCACCTGGTTTTGTTATACAAATCTTGGCATAGGTTTGTCAAAAAGTTTGCAGACCTGTCAAAAAAAATGGGGAAGAGCTTAGGATTTTGAAACAAAATTGCAAGCTCTTAAATATCTCCAACAGCCAAAGATAGCTATGGTTCACTCTTGGAGAGATGTAAGCTAGAGGGCTGAAGAGGTACCATGATAATAAATATGTTTTAATGTGCAAATATATCTTGTTTTTTCAGTGCTTTAACTTTTTTTTTCTTCTAGTGAACCTTAAAATGTTTTCACTTATCCATTCAGAAAGATATATGACACAAACATCAATAATGATAGTACTGAATTGCCATGGAAAAACAGTAAATATGATGGCAAAAATAAGAGTATCATTTAATGACTTTACCAATGATAAAGCCATTTCAAAAATACAGAATTATTTCTGATCACTTTCTATTAAAAAAGATATTGTAGAGACAAATGGAGAGCTCATAAAAAAGATAAAAGAATAGCCCAGAACCTAAAATAAAGCCCCAAAACATCACCTGAAGAGAAGTTGAAAGCACAGAGTTATTTACACTAGAAAGGAGATACATAAGAACATGATCCAAGTATGAAAACTGAATAGCTGGAAAAGGTTAGGAGCTTCACATAAGAAGAAGAGATTTACTGAAAAGATGGCAAATGCAACAATGGTAAAAAGAAACTTATTATTTTAATTTCATAATTAAAATATGGTAGAGAGCTGAATACATTTTTTTCAGTTTTCCGTTATATAGTACAATGTCATAAAAATGGAAGCATTATAAATATCTATTACAATACCTACAAATGTTTTAAATCTAGCAAACATTTTTCAGAGAAAGCAAAATATTTCATTTAAATTTTAATGTGTTGATTCAAATTCTTTCATTGCATCATATATTAGATAAAAGTTCAAAAGAAATAATCAAAAGCTATCAAAGTGTTTCAGTGATCATGAATTAACATTTTTCACAAAAAAAAATGGGAACTGGGAATTCTTGAGAGTTTTTTAATTTTTTAATTTAATTTCTTGCAGAATGGAAATTCTCATTTCCATCTTCTTTGGAGCTCACCAACACTGGATTTCTTTGAGAGCAAGAATTTACCACAATTAAACTTTCTACAGAGTAAAGAATATCCACAGTGAATAAAGAGAATAAGAACTAGTATTTTGTAAAGAATGTTAAATCTCCAGGACTTTCCTTAGTCAGACACTCTGACTTAGTTCCTGGGGCAGTACAGCGTGTTTAGCTTCCAAATGGTTTTCCTAGCCTCTTCTGTAGCACCTGGTACAGGACCCTGTAGGAGGAAGGACATGGGACTGGAAGGAGCTCCAGGCGGTGGGGTTTCTGCATTAAGAGTGCAAAGGGCTCAAGGCCCTGCCGCACCAGCTCCTCAGCCATGCACCGCTGATGGGAATTCATTAGATCAGGATTTCAACCTGTCTTTTCTATCAACAGGGAAACGGCTTCCTGGGATGCCACGGAAGCCTTCCAGCTCTCTTGTGAATGGAGGAGAGAACTGATATCAAAGGAATTTGGCAAAATGCTATCCTTTTGTACCCGGGAACTCAAATCTGGTAACAAAAATGAGAGAATGAATCCGGAGCCAGAAGTGGAGATAGCAGAATAAAATACATTTTCAATTCCTTTCAGGCTGAAAAAAACTATTGTTCGGCCCATATACTGAAGATGGAAAAAGCACACATGTGCACTGAGTTCATAGACTGAGCATTACTTGCAGCTCTTTCAAATGATGAAAAATGCAGATGAGGTTGATAAGACGACTCAGGGGTTTCTGCTGGGTGCTGCAGCATGAAGAGGTTGCCTTTCATACAGGACAGAAAGTCAAATTAGGTCCATGTAACTGTTCAAAATTCATTAGAATGACCTTAGTTAAGCTTTGCTTCCATGCACACTACGATATATGATAATATAGCCTGGAGCAAGAGCAGTAGTGGTGGTGGCACTTTCTGAAATATTTCCACTACTTGAAAGCTGCTGGATTTGTTAAAATATCTAAAAGGATTATAACAGGATGAACTGGGTTTTTTCCTTTTACTTTCTCCAAGCCAGTATAATAATATTACACAGAGCTTTTCATCTTCAAAGATCTTTACAAATCTTAGCAATTCACAGTAACTGAACAGTTATAAAAATATAATAAAACTAATTTTTGCTGTCTTGTTAATTTTTTCTTATTATTTGTAAGAATTAACTTTAAATAGCAGTAACTTCTTTAACTTTAAATAGCAGTAACTTCTTTAACTGGGCTGGTTCTGTAAATGTAACATTAAACTCATTACTAAGGGAATTTGAACAGTCACATCTCCCATACAACTCTTAGTCATAAAAATAATAAAAATAAAATATTTTCTGACTCCCTGTTAATCCAATAGAAGATGGCAGCACTTTTCTCCTTCTAGTGTAGACAGTTAATTCATTGCTCTTTTATTATTTAAACCACAAGCAGGAATAACACTGAAACAAGTATTATCAAAGAAATAATCTTACCAAATGTCACCACATCTAATATCTGTGGCAGATCAGAATACAAAGAAGTAATTTTACTCTTCCCCTTTTCATTTCTGAGCAGTTGCTCTGATAACTTACAAAATGTTCCCACAACTTTCAAGTCCCTGGTGTACAAGCAGGTAATTTCTCTACTTGACACTAAAGCTCTATGCTTGTCAACTGGGTGCAAATGCTCTCTGTTCTTGCTCACTTCAATGGATGCTGAAGGTACCCATCTGCCAACAGGACTGACTCTTCTGGGCTTCACTTCACATCAAAAAAATACATTACACAACACGAGGTTCTCAGTGCAAGGAAGGGTACCTGCATCCAGGCCTTGATGAAGCAGTTCTGTACACCTGAAGACTCATAGGCACCTTTGCCCACTTATGCCCAACAGCACGTGGGAAGCTCAAAGGCTGCTAGCTTGCTCCTGGAGACCTTACCTATGCAAAACACCTATTGAAGCTGGAGCACTTTCTTCTCCTGGCACTATCACGAGTGTCCCAGTTTGAACAGTCTAATAATACTTAGCAATAACTTCTTTGAAGCCAGAGAAGGGGTCAGGCTTTTGATGGAGCTAAAACATTTCCTAACTGAGGCCTAATTCTGCAACCCTTTCTCACACTGAGTAGCACTTTGCTGTCCCAGTGATGCCAAGGCAACAGCTTCCACAGATTTGTCACCACAGAGGCAGAGAAAGAAAATGTAAAAATTAAATTTATACTTAAAAATAATTTGGTAGGGACCGAATACCTGAGTCTTAAACATCACTCATTCTTCTGTCTTAGCTTGCTCCACAGCAAAAAGGCATTCCAATCATCACACTGTCCTTTGCATAAGGGTCCAGCAAGGGCCTATGAACATTTCATAAACATTAGAATTCCTGCTCAAAAGAGAAGGAAACTGAGGCAACTCCTCAACCAAAGAAAGTGGAGTCAGAGCAAGGAGGAGAGAGGAAGGGTCTCCTGGCTTCTGAACCAAGACTGGTCTTTTAGCTCAATGCAGACTGTGGAGAGTAACTGAATGAATAGCAGACTACATACCTAAAATAATAGAAAACAGGAGAGTGGCAGGTCATAAAGAAGTCTGCAAAGAAAAAAACACTCTTTTTTTTTCTCACAACATCCTTGCAGTATGTTTTTTTTTTATGCCAACTGATTCCAACACTGAACACTAAAGCCTGGGTTCTGGCCTCCTGGTAATAAGTAATTTGCAAAGGCCTGGTCACAGAGAGGTCAGAAAACCATGTAAATTGCTTGGATGGGAAAGCCTCTTTCACAGGAGAGAGCTGTAGGTGGTAGAGAGGCTCCCTGCCACAATTTTGCATTCCCCAGACATAGTGATATAGAAGAAGATAAGAGAGCTATGCTGATCTTCTCCCACCTGGCACCCTTTGGCTGCCCTTTATGGCAGGGATGGATGCCAGGCCTCCAGTAAACAGTGAGGTAGTTTCCATCTTTTACAGCAACAACCTCAACACAACTTTTTAGCTATTAGGCAAGCAACTTTTTGAAACAGGGTCCTAAAGCTGAAAATTCTATAGTGAGTTTTACTATACACCGAGTCGCATATGTTTAATTTTTACTGTCACATACCCAGAGAGGCAATGAGATGGCACACCTTCCAGCATGTGACAAGGTTTCCTTCTGGGGGGGTTTGCCATGGTGTTTGCATTTAATTTCATTATGAATGCAGCCTTGTGATATGAAGAAAGCAGAACCTAACAGAACATGCTCCTTGAGCTCTTACTTCTTCAGCCAGTTACTCTCACCCACATGCAGAACCAAGCCGATGGATTGATTTGGGGTAGCTCATTAGAGAAAAAGGTCTAATTCACTAGGGAGCGGCATTGTCTCATGTTTTCACTTCTGGTCTACCTACAAGGACAAGGACTCCCTCCCCATGGGTCATCTCTCCTCTCCTGTGACACACTGTATGCCTCCACCATTTACTATGCAGACCTCAAGGGAAAATGTCAATATAGTGGGAAATAATTCACTAAGGAGCTGATACTGCCATGATGTATACAACCCATGACTGAGTAAGTCATGTAGCTTCCTTCCACATGTCAAACAAACATTTCACATTGAGCATATTGCAAAATGAGCATTCAGCTTTGCCAACTCCATTGTTCAGCTGCATCTCAAATCCTGCTTTTTTGGTGTTGGAACTATAGCAATCTTACAAAATGAGATTAAAATATTTTTACCTGTAAAGATATACGTCCTGAATATTCTACTGTATATCTCACTAAATACACAAGTCACAAAAGATTTTGGTCAGCATTAGACATCATGTTACTAACCAAACACAAGCGTTAGAATTAAATGTAGTTGTAGTGTAATAAACACCATCACATCTCTCTTCTAGGGACATTTTTCAACCAACCTTTGTGCTAAAATCAACATGATTGGTCTGTGTTATTTAATTAATATCTAGGCTCAAAGATCACCCTTTGCTTTAATTTGAAAAAAGAAAAGCCTTTTTTCTGGATTAACACAAATATTAAACGGAAAGACTGTGGAACATAAAGGGCATGGGTTGCATTTTGCACAGGATAGGTTCTGGTTGAATGAGATCTGGGATGTGTGCCAAATTAATAGAAAAAATCCTGTTCTTCCTCTCCAATAGCCACAATGTTCATTATTAAGAAAAGCATATGAACCACAGGATTTGATTTTAATAACACCAATGTCTTCATTAATCTGTACTTTCCATTTAGCCTTATTATTGAGTAAATGCTGAGTTAATGCAGTACCTATTATTGTTGGATTTTTCATGAAAAACCTCCTTTCCCTCTTCCTTTTTCTTCATTCAAGCACTATCAGGTGTGTGTGTCATTTTTAAACAGGCCATCCACAGTCAATGGCTGTTTTCTTATCTCAGGTCTATGCAGCTACTCCAGTAACCCAGTCTACAATGCAGATAGTAACAAAAAAAAAATCCCAACAAACTCGAGAGAACAAAACCCCGATAAACCACTCCTAACTCAAACCCATATTTGTTTTGGTGTTGTTTTAAATGCTGTTGTGTCAAGCAGCCTCTTACTATCACCTGCAACTGAGCTGATCTTTCCTGGATGCTCCATGCGGCCTCCTTCTAAATCAAGATTGCTGATGGCCAACACCGCTTTGTATCTGCCGAACAAATAGTGGCCTTTTGTCCAGCACAAGTTCCTAAACAAACTTAATCTCTCTAACACTGTGACAGATGACATTTAGATGTCCTTGTTACCCTTAAAATGAGTTTTATTGACAATCAGAGAACAAAAAGAAGGCCCAGATAAAGCCCAATGTTTTATAGGCCTGCTAACAACATCTTAGTTCTTAGTGCAGAGGGTGTAGAGAAAGCCCAGAGTTGCCCCCATTTTCCCCTGCTTTGCTATATCACCATGACAACAGATATAGAAATCACTTAGTGACTCCTAGAAAGAAAACACAGTGACACAGTACCCCTTGTATGGCGAATCAAACTAAAGCCTTCATTCAAATAGCTATTCAGCTTGGGCATTCATGTAGAGGATGGGGTGGATTTTACACAGGTAACAACAACAGAAAGGCCAGCAAGCACTCCAGCCACAGCATATGGTAAAGTCTCTGTTTAATTAATGCATCCTCAATAGAATTTATCCATTTTAAATTTGTTTTCTTTTACTTGAAACATCATTAATGTAAAGGGCAACATTAATCAACATCTTGCAACTTAAAAGGGCATTAAAAAGTGATCTTTTCCCCCCCCGGCCCCAACAGAATCTTTTCAAGTACTTTTGCTTGCTGCGGCTGATTCCAGGCAGAGTCCTTAATCATAAGGCAAATCTAGAGAGGCCTCTACTGGCCAGCCTCTCCATCTGCAATTTTTCTATTTTTAAGTGACTTGGAAAAGCAAGCAGTGGAGTAACTACAAGGTTTTATCTTAAAGTTGCACACAGAATGGATTACTGATAAATATATGGTGCAAAACATAGGATAATTGTGCTTTTTTGAAGCTATCATGTACAATGTAACTTTGCTTTTTTTAAAAAAGTAAGAAGACTAGAAAGATTTATCTAGACTGTGATGTATTTGCCTCTATGACATTTTGAGACATTTTAAGATTATAGGTCTAAAAATTAATGAGTAATCATTTTTCTTTGTGTACAGGGCTCCCCTTAAAGTTGGGGCTTAAATCCGTTTAAATTTGAAATTCTCATATGCATGTGGCATTTTATATATGCATTTCTCACAACTAGAATAAAACATACATCAAAGCTCAGAGAAATTAAATGAAGAGCATAAGAAAAGGAAGTTATTGAATGATAGAGGAATCCTGCTTCTTTGGACTTTCCACAGTGACAACATAAAGACAAAGAACTTCAAAATCCCCCCATTTAGGTAAAATTGAACATTTTAGGCAATGGTCAGCATGCTCTGTGCTAATATCAGCAGTTCTTGCTGGGAAAAAAGAAAAAAGAAAAAAAGAGTTTCTGCTGTATCCTATAAACAAAAATATGAAGTGTGAGCTTGAAGCTACTTAAAACTACATTGACTTTTTTAATTCCTTTTATTCTAGTTACCAACCACAAACCATGGAATAAGAAGTATCTACTAAGCAGAAAAGACAACTCAGTAGATCTTATTGCTGTGTAGATAGGAAACTTCTTAACACCAAAACTCATGGAAAATGGGCAAACTGACAGATCTGGTGAAAAAAACCCCAAAGTTGAAGGCTGAAAGACAAAACTGATACTAGAAATAAAGTGCAAAATGTTGGTGGTGAATATAATTAACTTGGGAAGCAACTTACCTCGGGCTGTGATAGGCTGCTCCAAAACCTAAGCCTAAATTACTAAGGTCTTTTTCCTGTGTAGAATACAGATTATAGTAACTCCTAATCTTAAAATTAGTAATTTTAAATTTTTTTTTTAAGTCTTCAGTCTCTAGTAAATCCATAGGAAGTCACACAGATTATTTGGACTAGATTTATGGTTAGAAAACTTTCTAATCCTTGGGTGATTTATAAAAATACTTTTTTTTTTTTTTTTAATAAGAAAGGATTTAGTAACTATCAAGTATTTTAAGAGAGTATTATTTAGTAATATCTTAACATTTACACAATAAATCTCACGTCACATAAATTTATCTGTCCTTCACCTGTAATAGTATTAAAATGAAAAAAGAAAATTATATCATGACATTTTCTCCCTGATTTAGTATAATTCACAGGCACTGCAAGAATAGGAGAGAACCCATTTTAACAAGCCTGGATTAGCTTGTATTTCTTAAGGCACCCAGCACTCAATGTCTTTCAAAAAAATTTTGATTTGCCCATACCTCCATATAAGCCACCAGCTAATTTTACCTGTGATCACCTTTCCCCGGAAGGGAAGGGGGCAGGGAAGGAGATGTAATACAGGTCAATTCCTACCTCATGGTCAATGTAGCCTTTAAAAAATAAACAGCAGATCTGGAGCTCACCCTGCTAGTCCCAACAGTGACACCTCCTGGGGCAAGCAAGCTCCAGACAGCTGCAAGATTTTCTCTGCTTTGAAGTACAGTGAGAGCTCCACTCTGCAAAGCTGCACCAGTTCAAGTCTGAGAGTTTCTTTGAAAAAACTTTTCAGGACTGAGGCACTGCAGGGAGGAAAACGAACAATCCTGTTTAATTACATCAGTTTAGTGAGGAAAGCACAGGAGCCAGCGGCCATGTGGACGGACAGTATGACACACTAATATTTTCCTTCAGGTATTTCATTAAAAAAAGAGGATTCAGTTTTGGAAGTGGTGTTCCAGAAATTGTTTAGGGGTATGTCCAACAACAGTGTCCACAGCGTATGGCTAACATTAGACAGTGTGGCTTTCTTGCTTTTAGTGTTTCAGGTTTTTTTGTTTTGTTTTGTTTTAGTGGTGTTAGTTTATTTGTTTGTTTGGGGTTTTTGCGTGTAGTACAAGCTCACCCATGCAGAAAAGCTGGAAACACTTAAAATGACAATTTCCACTGGATTCCCAACCATTTCATACCAGATTTTGAAAAACTATGGGCCAAATAGCTCATAATCTACAGGTCCAGTCCTGAAAACCCTAGGTAATGGGCACAAATCTTCAAACAGCAGGAACCCAATAAAGACTGGTCATCAGAATTAGATTTGGAAACGGATAAAAATGGATTGGAGGAAAAAAATACTCTAAATATGTCTACATTTAGAATAGACTTTACTGGTCATTTTTCGTGTGTTTGACTTAAAACAGGAAAAACAATAGTTGCAAATTAAAAACAAAACCACCTCTTTGCAAGAGGAGCGATTTCTTCCTTTAGATTCTTACAGAACTAACGGTGAACAAAAATATTACCAATCCATTCACAATGGCCAAGAAATCTACAGTGGTCTTTGATGTCAGGCTAATAAAAATAAATTTTAAGAATCATATATTTTTAGGAATATTGACTGTCAGCATTTCATAGAGGAATCTCTGGCATGTGGTAATTTCCTGACAGAGATAGAATTACACAGATTTGGTGACATCAAAGTGTAAAAGAGCTCACACAAATTGTTTGAGAAGGTTTTTGTTTTCTTATTTCTAGCAAGTTCATTATTTCTATTTAAAAATCCAAACAAACAGCATATGAATAGTCAATTAATAAACATTTTCAGTATATGAATTTCCAGGAAATGATTCCATGGACAAAAGTAATCTCAAAATGATACACAATTCCAGTTGAATCTAACAAGTGATCTCACAGCTTTCTGGTAACTAGTACACTAGAAAGCACATAGACCACTCAGGGAGAAAAAAACAAAACAAAACAAAACAAACCTCTGGAGATCAGTTTTTGCAGGTGAAGCTACAATAAAATTTTCTGCATTTTTATTGTAATCATTTGACAAATATGCAATTTAGTGATTATAATGAAAAATCCAGAATTAATAAACTGGAAGTTAGAAAGCCATGAAGGAGAAGTTAATCACTACTGAAGAAATGTATTTTTTTTTAAATTCAGCTGCAAATGAAGTAGATCACACAGGACAAAAAAGCAAAACAGTACAAAAACATGTATAATATTCCCTGATTTATTAAAAAGACCAAGAGTTTTACTTATAAATCTCTTCTATAAATATAATTCTTCCAATTTTGTTCAATAAAATAATACAAATGTAAAAGAAATATTGTATATTGGCTGCATAGCAACATATGTATTTAATAGATGGAATAATGTATAAAAATATTTTAAGATAGTTGTATCCATGTGTTCAAGGCAGAATATACAGAATGACTTACAAATAGCTTATTTTATATACTTTTTATTTTTTTAATTCTAAAGCATGATTGAGTTACACGTAAGCTGGGGGAAAATATCTGCTGTTTCTGCTTAAAGTACAGAACTCATATTTTTTTACTCTTATGGTCATATCTGAGATACTGTATTTACTTTCTGATGATGTGGTGCTGCTAATTTATCATAAATAGGGTACAATTAAAGAGTTTGAAAAAGACCAGAAAATATGGTAACAGAGATAAAATCCAGAGTAAAAAAAAAAAGGGCGGGGTGGGAGGGTGGGTGAGGGAAACAAAATAGGATTAACACCTGGGTTTGTACCTAGCTCTGCATTTGCGACCAATATTACAACGTAGGGAAGTCAAAAATAGCAAAACAGACAAAGTTTCCCCGAGTATCTGAGGTAGTAATTCACTTAATGTCTACAACAGCTAGGAAACAGATTCCCTTTCTGCCTCAGAAGAGCCCATTTATCCATTTCACAGGGGATTTACGCAGTGTAAAGCTCCAGAAAGCCCATGGGCTGAGAGAGAGAAATGGCATCCAGCAGCACAGGGCAGCCCAGGCAGCCCATCAGAGCAAAGCCACAAAACAGAGCCAGAGGCAGCGCCGAGGCTGCCAGCACAACTGCCTGCAAAAGCTGCCAACGACTCAGAAACTGCTTGTGGGAAAATATCACTTACCCTTAGCATCTGGGTCCCATGATTACTGTCCAAAGAATCACAGACTGGTAAGATAATGGCAGGATAAATAGCACTTCATTTCTCCTATTTCTCCCCTTTACTCCCACAGATTTTTGAGACACCGCTCCACCGCTCATGCACAATTTTTTTAAAAATTTGTGGGTTTAATCTTTGTGTTACTCATGAAGTAAAATGAGCCTTCCTGCTTCATCTCTAAAAATAGCTTTTGCACAGTTCCCCTGGCTCTCAATGTACGAGACGTAGTGGGGCTATTTGTTACCGTTATTGACATGTTTGTGGTGAACTGCAAGCGTGTTTGCAGTAGAAATGAAGTCCCTGCTCTCTTGGAGGTAATGCTGGGGTGTCTAAAAGACTCACGGGAGTCCTTGACATGAATTCTCTAAAAGGAATTTCTGTTCCCATATAAATAAATTATCTTGGGACCAAATATTTATATTTTCCTTCTAATTCAGGAAGGGAGCAGATGCAGAAGTTCCTGATGGTTCTAGCAATAACACCCTGCTCAAGCTCTCTGCTATTGGGGATGAGGAAGAACAGGAGGAAAAAAGGAAGAGAAGGGCTTTGCACTTACCACTTGCAGTGTAATAGAATGAGAAATGGGGCTTTTGCTACAAGTAAATAGGGCAAAGTGAGAATTGGCTCCCTGAGGTGATGGGTGTCAAAAATGCTAGGGAACCTAAAGGGCAGAGATGCCTTATGGCTAGTGAATTGGCCCTAACTTCCCCAAATTATGCCAAAGGTTGCCTAGAAAATTTTACAGTCATTAGCTTTCAGTTGGAATTGATAGATTTCCAGTATCTATTCACTGAGGGGGGAAAATGGTTTCTATTAAAAATATACAGCATCATCATTTTACCAGCATAGGCTGTTTTTTTCCCTGCAGAAATCCATTAAAAGAAGTAAACTTTAATCAGAATTACAGTTTGTACTTTTGCACCGTACTGAAACAGACCCAGACAGTTGCTCATTAAAACAGTCCAGTTATGTGTAACATATATGGGATTTTGCAACATGCCAGGTGTTAAACAAAACATGAAGTGACATCATTCTGTGCAGTGTGCTATAGAAAATACAATCTCCTGGTGGTTTACAGGAAAAAAACCCCCACCGCTTTTTGGTGAACTGCATACAAAACGATGGAAGAGTACAAGTTGTTATTGTCTCTATATTTTGAAATTGGGTAAATCTCTGTCTCTGCATGCTCAAATTCATGTTTATAAGCAGAAGGCCTACACTAAATCTTTCATTAAAAATATTCCTTCTAGTAAGGAATGAGGAGCTTAGAGTAAAATAAACAAAATTTATAGGAATATCTGTGGGCTGCAGATATATTTAAGTGTATAACCAGCAAGAAAATATCCAAGGGAGACTAACGAATAACACAAGAGGAAACTGTAAACGGGAGGTCCTGTATAATAAACAGAGCAATATGGATTCAATGCCACAATCTGGTGGGTTTGTTTTTTGTTTTGTTTTGGTTTTTTTTTTGTTCATTTGGTTTGGTGTTTTTTAAATTCTCAGACAGAAAGGTGTTTGATTCCAGCAATGGACTCCTTTGATTGATGGATTATTTGATCGAATGTTGCTGAGAGATTATTCTATTCCTGTGTAAACTAATGAATTCCAAAACCCATTCAAATTTATAGTATTATTTATATCTTCATTAAACAAATGGCAAACATTATTGCTGAACAGTTCCGGCTCCTCCTTATTCATTGGATGAGGTCTATATTCAAAACCAAATGTATCTCCAGTGTGAGGCTGAGCTCTTAGAATAAAGTACTGTACATATAATTAGTATTAGCCAGCCTTGTAATTGGAAACAAGAGAAAAAGTGTATGTGAAATGCATTGCCTCCAGTACAGAAAAGTACAGAAAACTAAGCAAGGTACCTGTGATGTGCTACGTGACCCTCGCCTTCAATACTGTGCGAAGATGAGTACAGAAAACTGTGTTTGATAGCTCTAAGTATGGTCAAAAGGAAACATACCTTGAACAACATCGCATTTATGCCAAGAGTTGTTAGGCTAACTCTGTTTTACATTAAGCAGAAAACTTAATAGCTGTATAAAGACATATTAAAAGGTTATAGCTGAAGTCAGACTTTATCTGCAGGCTTTCCATGCACTATCTTGTAGTATCATAGTGCTGTTTTTAAAATAGTTTTTAAAAAGCAAAGGAGGTTATTTGTTCCTTTTAATAGGACATCAGTACGCAGAACGTTTTGCTTGTTTTTTCTGCCCATATGCAGTTTGTTTATTTTTTTTTTTCAGTTATCTTAGTGTCTTGAATATTTAGTGGCATAGAGATCTTGCTTACATTCAACATTTTCATATTTCATTGTATTTTAATTACTACAAAACCTTATGCACAAGCTACATCATATTACTTGTTTGCACTCCACTGAAAATCATCTACATCTTCCTGAACATGAGAATATTTTTAATTTTTAATATGGAATTGTTTGAGAAGGCACACAGTTTAAGCAGTTAGGCCCAATGTTCCAAATAAAACATGTCACCTACATATCAGAACAAAAAGAGGCATTGTAGTTTACTTATTTTAAAAGAATGCCAGTGCCACCTCATCCTTCACAATCTTATAGCTCCTACATGACCAACAGAAAAATGTTGAAACTGTCACTAG